TCTTCTGCAGCCGCGGTATCTCCAGTATCGAAATAGCTCAGGCAAGAGCCACATTGAAACCCTATCTACCTCCGAGTCACAGCCTGCTCCCTGGGGAAATGGATTTGGCTTGAGCCCCTTCCAGGAGGAGGTTAGGAGATGGTCTGTCGGGAATTAAAATAGCTCCGGCAGTGCCCGCTCAGCTTGCGAGTAGATAAGAAGCTGGGCCCATTTTCACATTCCACTGCGTGGTCTCAGCCCTCCGTGTGGGCCCAGCAAAAAGGTAACTAGGACTCCCATTATCTCGCTCTAATCTTGGAATTTTAAATGTTTATGCGGAGGAAAGTACAACTGACTCATTCATCTAATCACTTCCAAGAGGGGGAGGGAGAGCTAAGAGTCACCAGGCCAAGATCCCCAGGGGCCAGTGCCCAGAGCCAGCCTGAGGGCATAGCTGGGGGATGATATCAGGGCTTCCCAAAACGGGTCCTTGTCATCGCGGGTCCCAAGTGTGTCCAGGGACAAGAGCCAGTGCACAGCACTCCGGGAGCTGGGCAGGGGGGAGGCTGGCGCGGAGGCCCGGGGCCACGGCACGAAGCTGATAGACTTGGTTGCTCCTGAGGCAGCCAGATAAGCCGACCTCCGTCCCGCTCCACAGGAGTCTGGCCTGACCTGGAAGGAGAGGGGTGATGTGACACCCCTTCCTGCGACACCCTGCTCCGGGGAAGGCCTGGCTCTGCCTTTCCAGCCTGACCATCCACTCAGACACACCAGTTCTCCCTGGAGCTACGCTGACCCTTGCCAAGCTGACCACAGGGACACCACCTCCTGGGTGGTCTCTCTTGTTTTGATGATAGTAAACTTGAGATAAGAGAGACGCCTCACAAAAACAACACCAACAATAACAGCAGCTAGCTAGAAACTACTGAGCACTTGCAGGGACCGTGCAAATAACGCACAACGTGCTTCACACATGCCGTGTCATTTGCATCCTCAAAACCCTGAAAGGTAGCGATTGTTATTATTCCCATTTTATAGATGGGGAAACGGAGGCTCCGCCGGGTCAAATAACCGCCAACCATCACTTTGCCACGGAAGTGGTGGAACCGAGAAACAAACCAAGCCTGCTTGACCGCAGAGCCCCACTTCCTACGGACCATGCCGAGCTCCTCGTGCATCGTCTGGGGGGGCAGGGGGCCCTGTGCTCTCGGAGGCCCCTCCGCTGTCGAGGTTTTCTCCATCCGCAGAGTCCGAGCTGAGGGTGTAGTGTGAGGGCTCTGTGCCCTTTCTCTCGTGGTCTGCCCTGGCATCACCACTTCATCCCCCTGTAGCTGAGGGTGGTGATGGGCCGGGGCCAATGCAGGTCTCCTGACCTGACAGCCCCTGAGTGGTCCTCACGTGTCTGTCGGCATATTCCGAGCCGGCACTTCATGCTTTTAGATATCAGGCAGGAGCCATATTTGCAGCCTTGGCCTTCACCCTGGTTTTGCATCCGGGTGTACCTGCATGTGGTTGCGTGTGCTAACGGTGCATTCACTGGTGCAAGCGGAGGAACCTCTGTAGTGATCGCGCTGTCACTTGGGAAAGCAGATGCGTAGAAACTGTGCCTCTCCAGGGACTGGTCCCCAAATAAGCCTCTCCCCTGGCTGGGAGAGTGTCTTCCCCTTCCCACCGGACTCTGCCAATCTCCACCTGTCACTTCCCTTCCTCGCTCCCCTTTATTGGCGCCGCCCCCTTTCTGTGGCCTGTCCACAGCTGACAGTCATTTGGGCTCGGCTGAATCCTGCCTCCTCCGGGAGTCTTGGCCTGCTCCCTCCTTCCTCTGCCCACCAGCATTCCCCAGTCTCGTCCCTGACATTTCCACTGTGTCCCGTGGCAACACAAGAATAACCTCCTACGCATGCCTCGCCTTCTCCCCACCATACTGTGTCTGGGAATGCTTCTCTTTCTCCCGATTTCTCCTAAAGCGGGAAGCCTGGAAATGAAGAGAGTAACTGAGGAATTGGGGGAAATGGGACAAGTGACTGACTCCTTTATTCCAGATGCTTGACTTCTAGACTTTTCCATGTCATTCTGGTGCCTCAATCTGAGGTCACCAAATGGTACGTATTAGAATGCAAAGGGCATGCTGATTGACTGGTAGCAAACCAGGGCTCCCTCCAGCCCTCCAGCCCTCTCTGAGACCAGGCCCAATGAAACCAGCATGAGCACCCTCCCCAGAACCTGGAGCCTTTTCATTCTCACAATCAAGAAGTCACATTGGCCCCTCAAATCGCAAAAACTCAAGTACAACATGTTGTGGAATATGGAGATGTCCTCAGGCCAGGTGTGCAGAGAGAGGAGAGACACTGGCTGGGCCCCAGTCAGCAGGTCTCTAAACACTGGGACAGACTGGCCCTAGCAAGGTCCTCAAAACAGAGATGAGAAAATGTACCCCCTACTCTGACTTACTGGCCCGTCACACGGCCAAATGAAAGCTGATGGTTTTTGTTATTGCTGCACTATCAAGTGAATGACCGATACAAACTACTCTTCTTATCACCTGCTATCACTCCACTTGAAAAGTAAGGTTGACGGAGGCTAAGAAGAGAAACCATTCTCTCTCCCCACCCCCTTTCTCAAAACATTTCTACCCACAGGGGACACTACTTGGACAACTTTGCAATTTGGCTAATTCCCTCAAAGTCTCTAATTCCACAAATATAAGTAGCATTTGCAATTTCCAAGAAAACATGGTTTCTAAAGTGAAGAAATGTCTAGAAGCTGATTCCCGGAGGCAAGTGGCAGGACCTTCCTGGAAAGCGCTCAGGCTAATGGGCCCCTGAGAAAGGAGTAGAAACATTTTCTCACATCCCATGACAGTGACAAACACAGCTTCGTGTGCAGAGTGCAGGGTTCGCTGGGAGAGACCAGGACGGGAAGGCTCGGAGCTACTTCTGAGCTCTTAAAAGAGGGCGGGAGGTGTTTGAGATCAGAGTTCTAAAGGGGGCCGTGGGCCCCTGAGCGCAAAGAAAAAGGTGACGTTTATCAAACACCCAATGAAATACCCCTGTTTGGTGCAAATATGAGAAAATGATAGCATGTATTTATTTCAGGTGATACCTGCAGATGTTTTATATTATTCTCTGTACTTGCCTATTATTTCACATTTTTTATAGTTAAAAAAGTGCACTTTTGAAAATAAAAGTTGAAAAATCAAGGTTCCCATTAATACCATGGGATACTGTGCAGCTGATACAAAAACTGATTTCTAATGGAGGAAGACGTCTGTGCTCACAGGCAAGGGTCTCCAGGACACGTGCGGGGTGAGAAAAGCAAGTTTCAGAGCAGATGGTTCGCCCAGGCCTGTCTGGCTGACACGCGTTTTACATCTGTGCATATTCGTCCTGCCGTACGTATAGGATTAAATCTAGAAGCAGAGACGAGTTCTTCATAGGAAGGAGGATTAGTGTGGCCATTTCCTGCGGTGTGAATGTCAATGATAAGTAGAGCTTCCTTTTATAACCGTAGAAAAACAATAATGACTCTCCTGAAAGCTCCTCGACTCCCTGGGGCAGCATATGGGCCGCACGCCGGGCCGGGCCGGCAGGCCCCACAGGCCAGCGGCTGGGCTCCCACCTGCCCTGTCCTAGTCTGGCCTCTTTCCTGACTTGACCCTGGCATGTCTGAGTGAGGGGCCGTGACAGATGCCAGCCGTGGTGGCGATGACAAGCCCCAAGCCACATTTGTTCCATTACTTCCAGCCCCTCGCTGCCTTTCCCGTCGGTGGGTGAGAGCTCCTCTCCCTTATCTGCGCGGAGCAGGAGTCAAAAGTTCTCAGCAGCGCGATTGCCGAAGGCCGGGCTGGCAACTTCCAGATAAACCCGAATTCCTCTGGAAGAGCTGGCCCGGGCTCGGGTCAGATGAGCAGCGTGGCCCCGGCCCATTTCGCACTGTGCAGCTGGATAGTAAACCAGATGAAACTGAGCAATTAGGGGACATTCGGGACATGTAAGGGTGTCGCTATAGTGCCGTCTGGTCTGATAGACCCTCTTCCCAAGCTAATGTACCTGTGCCCCGCAGAGACGTGTGGGTAGCGGAGGAGGCAGCTCTGCCTGTGTGAGCCCGTGAGATTTTTCCAAAATAGGCCCAGAGATATGAGGAGTCAAAAGAAAATCCAAATAATAAACAAGGAAGGATCACCCCGACTTTTCCGAGACACATTTCTGCTTCAGTAAACGGATACGAACTAGCGAGGTGGGACACCCCGGGACATTAGCTAATTCTGACATTTGGACTTTAAGCTCCTAGCTCGTCCTGTTAGGGAGTTTGCTAAACATCTGTGCTGTGTTGTGCGTTACATTTGAAGAGGATGCAGATGGCACGCTGTCATCTCAGTCATGTCTCTCATTTTTTTTTAAATATATTTTATTGATTTTTTACAGAGAGGAAGGGAGAGAGATAGAGAGTTAGAAATATCGATGAGAGAGAGACATCGATCAGCTGCCTCCTGCACACCTCCTACTGGGGATGTGCCCGCAACCCAGGTACATGCCCTTGACCGGAATCGAACCTGGGACCTTTCAGTCCGCAGGCCGACGCTCTATCCACTGAGCCAAACCGGTTTCGGCCTGTCTCTCATTTTGAGACAGGGAGGTGGCATTCTCCCTGCTCGCTCCAGTGGCCTCCTGCTACATCTGGTGGGGGGTTGCTTTTCTTTCCTTCAGCACCCCCCCAATTCGATTTCAAAAGATATGGGTTCCCACAGAAAATGTTCAGAAATGGACAAACCTGAAAATAAGGTTTAACCAATAATGCAAGTCATTCTTCCCTGCCAAACACATTGCATTTATAAACACAAGTTCCCATCTGAGTCAATAGACAGAAATGAAACCATGTAGAAAGTACCTTCACCGTTACCTTGAACTGCACACAGTCCTGAAGGGGTGACGCTAGTCCTAATGGGGTGACACACTGAGCAGGTGCAGCAAGCCCTGTGACGTGCCCACACCTCTGACCAGTGTTGGGTGTCCCTGCCCCAGGGAACCAGGTGAACTTCTCCAAATCTGCAGATGCCTTTGCCTTCGACGAGGACAGCAGCAGCGACGGGCTTTCTCCAGATCACACTCGAAGCGAAGACCCCCAGGGCCCAGCGACGTCCCCCCGAGATACCAAAGCTACGGAGATCCCTTTGGCAGGTCCTCCGGGGACAATCCAGGTAACAAACTGCTTCTCAGCCTGTCGTCTCTTCATAGTCCGGAAATGACACTGCCAGGCTGGGTGCCCTCCGAGGTCCAGAGACACGTCTGCATGGCGTGTCACCCCCGGGTCCAGCGCTCTGTGTGGTGGTGAAACCTCCAGAACACCTGGAGGAGAACCCGAGGTCTGTACCCTGGGACGTACTTTTAAAGCATCTGCTCTGCCAAGTAGATACCTTTTATCCCTATTTTCACAAAGTAAAAATGAGGTTCTCTGCCATTAGATGACCCACCACAGTCGCCGGGACAGAATGTGCCAGAGCAGGGCTGCTTTTAACGTCGCCCTTCCATGCACTGAGCAGCCACCAGGGGGCGCTGCGGTTACAAAGCAGAGCGGCATGTTGGTTTTACCTGAGCAGGTTTCTACCTGCAGAGCCCCTGCGAGGCCACTTCCAGCCCCAAACCAAGCACAGCACTCGCCTCTGGACAAATCCACAAACTCGTAACATGTGGAGAATGTATATTGCAAATATTGCTCAAAGCACATTTATAAAGAACAATGATGATATTAACAACAGCCACTGCATTCCATTAGGCACTCACTGAGCCAGGGCCACTCCAGCCACTTCCTGAGCATAGCCTGTTAGGGAGCACTGCCCCCCAGGCTGGAACACTGATGCTGATCCCACAGGGGAGGAGCTCAGGCTCTGGGGCTGAGCAGTGTGTGGTCTCCAGGACACTGCAACCCCCCAGCCCCTCAGCTGCCACCCCTAGAAGCCGTCAGGCCTAGTGGGGTTTTCCTCAGCCTGCCCAGCACCCCTACATGTACACATGCACACAAATACACATAAACACACTTACGTATCCACACAAACACACACACCAAGTGCACATATGCATACAACCACAGACACATACACACATGTACATTAAATATACATGCACAGAACACATCCACACAGATACATATGCAAGCATATACACACATATATCTATGTGTACACAAAGTATACACAGAGACACATACAGCTATACCCAGAACACATACACATATGCACACATACACACAGAGATAAATAGACACACATATACGTACATGCATGCACACTTTTCCTCCATCTGCTAACACCCTCTCATCTCGTTCATGTCCTGCCTCTCCCACAGTTGCTATACCCAATCCTCTCTCTCCCTTTTTCAAGCCCATTACCAAGCCCAACAGGTGGACCTCGTCACAGGCAGGAGGAACCCACCCTCAGGTTGACCAGATATCCCAGTTTGCCAAGAGTAGGTTGGTTCTATTCCTGTCTTGTGAGATAATTCTTAATAATGACCCTTTTCTCTCCTCAGAATATCCTCAATTGGTTGGCAATATACATATATTCTTCTCCTGGAGAAAGTAGTCTTACGTGTACTTGGACAGAAAGCTAGGATTAAAACAGCAGAGCTAGCCCTGACTGGGCGGCCCGGTTAGTTGGAGCATTGTTCTGTACACCAAAAGGTTGGGGGTTTGATTCCCAGTCAAGACACATACCTAGGTCGGGTACAGGAGGCAACTGATTGATGTTTCTCTTACACAGATGTTTCTCTCTATCTCTCTTCCCCTTCTTCTCTCTCTAACATCAATAAAAACATATCCTCAGGTGAGGATTGACAAAACACACAGCAGAGCTATGTGTGTGTTTATGTGGGGTGAGGCGGGCGGGGAGGGGGTGGTGCAGGGGACAGGTCTCTACTTTAACACGTCTATGTCACAGTTTTGACCCTTACATCCTAGTAATGCTACAATTTGGATTTCAGGATCTAACTTCTGGCTCCGAAAATGACAGGAATGACTCGGTCTCACAGCCCAGCAACCAGTCAGACACAGGGAAGCAGGGGCTCGGCACCCTCAGCACCACCAACCCCGGGCACACTGCTGTGAAGGTAGGATGGGCCTGCCTCCACGCAACCCCCTGACTTCTGGCTCACAGAGCAGCGCTGAGCAGAGCTTTCTGAGCTAGGTCTGGGAAGAGGAAAGCCATGCAGACCCTGTTATAGGTTTAGTCTGCTAGGCACATGCATGACAGCTGTGAGCTGTGGAGCCATCAGGGTACATGGACCAAGATCCAGCTTTCTATGCCGCACAGCGTGGGGCTTCCCTGTAGGGGAAGCCTATGCATTTGTATTTCTTTGGCCTCAGCGCCCACTAGTTTGTCCTGGCTTAAAAGACTTCCTAAGTTCATCCTAGAGGTAGACGCAGCTGGTGGTAACGCACACAGAATTGTAAGCGCCATCAAATGAGCAGAGGGGAGTTGAACTTCATGCAAGGGAAGCCAACCTGAATGCCTTGCACAAGTAAGACCTCCCTCGGTCCAGCCAGGCTCCCTGTGGAAGTGCAGGTAAAGGGGCGATGTTCTTCGTGGTAGACAAAGAACTAAAGCATTTAGCATATCGTTGGTTTCAGTTCTCAGCGTTGTATCTCATCGTTCCCAGAGTGCGCTCTCCTTAGCTGCCTGGGAGTCATTTAGCCTTCCTAGCAGTTTATCCCATGCAACTCCTAATTGCTTTGGGGGCATGTCTCTCACCTCTGCCACCGCCACTTAATGAATATTGAAATGACTCTAAGCAAGTATTTTACTAGTGGTTGTAGACTGAGTCACAATCCATGTTAAAGTAACAGCCCGTGGTCCCCGGCCCTGCGTACACAGAAGTGGACGGCAGGCATTTCGGCTGCCCAGTAAGCACCCCCACCAAACTGCAGTGGCTTAAACCTCGCTTCCAATTCACTCAGCTCAACAGCTTTGCAGTCATGTGACTGCTGCTGAAGTGTTCACCGCAGGTGGAAGGAGGAAGTGATTCACATTATTTCCAAAGTTGTGTACAAAGAAATTGTATGAACATTTCCACCAACGTATTTTAAATTCCATAGTTCAAATTAGCAAAGCTTCAGGCCTGCGCACTCTGAGAAGGTTGCCCTGAGGGAGGACGGGTCCGTTTTAATAAAGAGCAGGACTGAGAGCCAGCCCATCAGGCAGCACTGCACCGGTGGTTTACGTAAGAGCCCACATCCCTTCTGATTGGTCAATGCCTGTGACTTCTCCTTGTTGAATATTCATCATCTCTAAATTAAGAGGATCCTAGAGGGCTTCTCAAAGAAGGAGGGAACCCCGCTGGGAACCCCTCTGCCCTGCTGGCTGTGAGAGGCTCCTGGGAGGCCAATGTGAAGGCACAGCAGTGCTCTCAAGTGGGAAGTCTCCTATGGAGAGGAAGGTGTTCTCCACGCAGGCTCTGGGGGCACAGTCACAGGGTGTCTGCCCTCCAGGAGCCTGTTGGGCAGGGGTCCTCAAACTTTTTAAACAGGGGGCCAGTTCACTGTCCCTCAGACCGTTGGAGGGCCGGACTATAGTTTAAAAAAAAACTAGTCAGCTGCTAAGCAACAGGCAGCGGCGGCAAAAACACCCGGCGGGCCGGATAAATGTTTTCGGCGGGCCGCATGTGGCCCACGGGTCATAGTTTGAGGACCCCTGCTGTTGGGTATCACAGCACCACTAACACAGTGCTTTGAGCAAATAAGGAAAATGTGCCCCTAAGAACTTGACCAGACATTTCTCCAAAGATAAGGAAATTGCCAATAATCACATTAAAGGTGTTACATGTCATTAGTCATCAGAAAAATGCAAACCAAAACCACAACAAAATACTGCAGCACACCCACCAGGATGCTATAGTAAAAACGGGAAAAAAGCAACTGCTGGTGAGGATGTGGAGACTGGAACTCTCATATGTTGCCAGTGGAAAATTACATTTATATAATGTAAAATGGTTTCCATCCATTATGGAAAGCAGTGGTGGCCCCTCAATAAGTTAAGGGTTGAGTTATTGTGTGACCCAGTAATTCCACTGCTAGGTATTTGCCCAAGAGAACTGAAAACAGGTGTTCAAACAAAAACTTGTACACGAATATTCATAGCACACTCCTCACAATAGCGAAAAGTCGAAACTAACCCTAAGGTCCATCAGCTGAAGAATGGACAAGCATGTGGCATATCCACACAACGGAATATTATTCGGCCATAAAGAGAAATGAGTGCTGATACATGATACACCATGAATGAACCTTGAAAGTGTTATTCTGAGTGAAAAAGCCCAACACAAAAGACTACATATTGTATGATTTCATTTCTATGAAACATCCTGAATAGCCAAAGCCATAGAGACGGACAGCAGAAGTGCCTCCCAGGGGCTGCAGGAAGGAGGGCGGGGGTGGGGGTGGTTGCTCAGCGGTATGTATGGCCTTCTTTGGGGGGCGATGAATATATTCTGGAGCTAGATAGTGATGACACGCACAACATTGTGAATGTATTAAGTGCCACTGAATTGTGTATTCTCAAATGGTGGCTATGGTGATTTTGTGTTACTTGTATTTTATCATAATACTAGGGGCCCCGGTGGGGCCCCTCGGCCTGGCCTGTGCCCTCTCACAATCCGGGACCCCTCGGAAGACGTCAGATAGCCAGTTTTGGCCCCATCCCTACAGGCCCGATCCAGACAGGAGGGAGCCCGATCCTGTGTGTTGAGTGTCCCCTGGTGGTCAGTGTGCATCAAAGCGACTGGTCAACTGGTTGTTTGGTCATTTGGTCGCTTAGGCTTTTATATATATAGATAAGCAGAGGTTCCCCTTCCCCAGGCAGCCATAGTCCCGCCTCAGGACCAACAACCTCCGAAGCAGAGTGACAGCTGGATTTCAGTCCCCTCCCCTCAGCAGGGGTGTGGCCATGCCATAAGAGACTCACAGATAGGAGACATGGCTATGAGTTAGGAAAAGCTTCCCCAGTGAGTTGAGGTTTGGGCTGGACTCAGAGGATGAACTGGAGTCGTACAACAAGTGGAGGAGGGAGTTCTAAAACAGCAGAAAATTACAAGGAATAGAGGCAGGAGGGGTGAGCTGCTGGAGAGGGCAGGTCTAGGCAGTTTGGCACCAGCCTGCTGTGGCTGACGAGTTTGACTTCACCTCGCAGGCAGGGGCTGCTGTGTTGTGTGGCAGCCCCACTGTGTGCCTGCAGGTTGAGTGAGGAAGCTCCAGGCCACAGGGTACACTGTTCGCTATCGCATTGCACTCACCTGCCTTACACCTTCGCGCCTGGGTCTTAAGCCCCTGGACCTTGGATGCAGCTCTGTCTTAGGTTGTTCTCCCCTTAGGTTGGCCATGCAGTTCTGGGTAGGAAACAGCAAAACAGACCCACAGCTGTAATAGCCTCTGGCCGCAGAAAGACTGTGAAACGGCACAGGTCCATGAATTCAGAGCTCCATGTGCTCAGTAGTCTTGGCCCTCACTGTACAGTGGCTCAGTGAGAAAATGGCTCGGTTTTAGAACCTTCTGGATGGCCCAGTCCCTGTGGTAAGTAAGGCAACATGGAGAGAAAATTCTTAGCAAGACTCAGGGCTGAAGCTCCCGGGACAAGGCAAGTCCCAGCTGAGGTGGGAACAGAAGCTGCCAAGCAGCGCAGAGCTGACTGCGGGGCCTGGAGAAGTCCTCCAAGTGTGAGACTGATTCATTAACTGGAATGCTAATCGATTAACGAGCAGGGAAGGCCTCCTGCGCATTATTCATTAGTCTCCCAGATGCCTCCTTGAGAAAACAAAGAGGCTTCGGTGATGGGATGTGCTGGTCAGAGGAAGGCGAGTGGGCAGCTCCCCTGGGTAGGTCACCTTCAGATGTGTGTTTTGTGGTTAAAGTGGTGACGCTGCCCTTCAGAACGGGCCTGCCAGCTATGCAGGAGCCCCCTCTTCTGGGCACTGCTGGTACCACACGTTCCCTCCACCTTTTCCCCAAATTCTCAAGAATCTTCCGTCATGATATCCATGTTCTTCACTTCAACCTTCTGGAAAAAGTCAAGGTTTGAAATTTATATTTTTCAACTGATCATAGTATGAACCTATTGCTTCCTAACATATGGAGGCCTTTGATTTTAGATCATAGATCTAATCACACCGCCCTCTAGTCCTGTTGTTACTTCAGTACTGTCTTTCATCACCCTTACATTGGTCACTGAGACAGGAAATAGAGACTATTTTCCCCAACTTGGAGGTGAGGTAACTAAGATGTAGTAAGGTACTTGTACCACCTTCAGAAATTTCTCTTCACTCCCTAGCCTGTATGCTTAACTTCTCTTTATGTGTCCAAATCATGCTCTATAAAGGGTAACTTCTGGGGGGTCCCAGGGCGTGGCTAACCCTCCCCATAGTAAGTACAGTATTCCGAGGGTACCACTTCCTGATTTTATATCAGGATTAGGGATGGTGGTGGGAGGGACAGTCTATATTACTTTTCAGCCTGAAGTAGCAAAACTTCACATCCTGGATTTTCAAAGCCAAGGTTAATTTCCTCTACATGTATGGCATTACTACGTCAATTTGCTAAGTGCTTAACCAGCAGTGATTCCACATATACATATGAGGGTACTTTCCTATGAATCAGCCCCAAGATCAGAATGTGTTAGACGGCAGTTGGTCTGAGATGAGGAAAGTGTTCTCACTCTACTCTGGGAGGAAAAACCTTCAGGAGCCACTTCTAAGGTTCAAGATTCCCACCTAAAGGGTGTGCTTCCAGTCCATTAGACATCTCCGTGTCCCAGGGTCTCTGCACATCATGCTTTGCTGTCTGTATGTCCAAGATTCGAGAACATCTATTGGACAGACCCTCCTTGCGTGTTCTCCCACCTAAGGGGTGTGCTTCCAGACCATTAGACATCTCCGTGTCCCAGGGTCTCTTTGCACATCGTGCTTTGCTGTCTGTATGTCAAAGATTCAAGAACATCTATTGGACAGACCCTCCTTGCGTGTTCCCATGACACCGGTCATTCTCTTCATCACCTAAAGCCATGTTCGTCTCCATCCTCTTGCAGTCCAAGTCCTTGAGTGACAGTAAGAACCGCCACAAGAAGCCCAAGGACCCCAAGCCAAAGGTGAAGAAGCTCAAGTACCACCAGTACATCCCCCCGGACCAGAAGGCGGAGAAGTCACCGCCACCCATGGACTCGGCCTATGCGCGGCTGTTACAGCAGCAGCAGCTGTTCCTGCAGCTGCAGATCCTCAGCCAGCAGCAGCAGCAGCGCTTCGGCTACACCAGCATCCACCCCGCTCAGCTCAAGTGAGTCCCAGAGCCCAGGCTGTGCACAGGGTGGGTGGCTCCTCTCTGCCCGGGCACCGGGCCAGCAGCCGCGGCCAAGGCCCATGCTGCATCGTGCCTCACCTGTTATGTTTGGAAACTGGGCACGCCTTTTCAGGAACATAGGCCGGGAGGGAGCAAGGAAATCAATGCCCCTGATAAGAGGCCTCTCTGGGAAAAGGGCGATGTGACCACTGTGAGGCTGCAAGTGGAACAGAGAGGTTTCCCTCAGTTGGGGTGGGCGTTCAGCTGTCTCCCTGTTCGGCCTTGGGTGACGCTGGCCATTATGCTGAGTACAGCCAAGCTCCACAGGTTCGCTTCTGCTCGACAGGGCTGCATCTGCTAAGTCACGCATGGATACGCCCCACCCATATGCCAGTCTCCACCTCTCCCTCCGGTCTCCCCCAGACTCGGCCTGAGTGTCACTTGCCACTTGCCAGCTAGCCGGCTGTGGCTTTCCTCACCCTGCCTGATCCTTGTAGACAATTAACTTGTGATCTCATCTAAATAGAAGTCACCCCCTAAGGGTTCTGGTCACCCAATTCCAATATGTGGGGGATGTTTTCCCCACATCACCAAGCGACTCCCCAACACCATCAGGTTGTCCAACTAGCTACCTGGAAACAGCATCAGAATCCACAGGTAAGGGCTCAGTCCCCAAGACTGGTGCTCTCACCTTCTTAAGATGCCAGAAATTGTCCAGAAGTTGTTACATGGGCTTCTGGTCAACCAACTATAGATCAGAGATTCCCACAACCTACTCCTTGGGTTTGATTAATGTGCTAGAGCGACTCATGGAACTCAGAGAAACATTTTACTTACTAGATCACTGCTCATGGAACTCAGGGAAACATTTTACTTACTCGATCACTGGTTTATTGTGAAAGAATACAACTGAGGAACAGCCAGATGGAAGAGATGCATAGGGCAAGGTGTGGGGAGGGGCATGGAGCTTCCAACCCTCTCCAAGCCAGCTACTCTGCCAGACCTCCACATTGTCACCGACCCAGAAACATTCTGGCCCGCAACCTTTTGGGTTTTTAGGGAAGCTTCATGGCAAAGCCAGGGCTGATTACATCATTGGCCATTGGTGAATTCAATCTCCAGTCCCTCACCCTGCCTGGAGGCCAGGGAATGAGAAGGTGGTGGGACCAGAAGTTTCTACCTTCTAATCACAGGATGGATTCTCCTGGCAGCCAGCATCCCTCCTTAGATAGAGTCCAAAAGCCACCTCATTAACACAACAAGAGACACCTCTGTCACTCTCCTCACTTGGGAAGTCCCAAGCGTTTTAGCCGTGAGCCAGAAATTGTATGAACACCAAATATATATTTCTTATTATATATCACAATATATAGATCTGACTGTATTTCAAGTCCCTCTTTTTCGTTTGTTTTCAGGGAACCAAACGAGCAGATGGTCAGAAATCCAAACTCTTCTTCAACACCACTGAGCAGTACCCCTTTGTCTCCTGTCAAAAACAGCTTTTCTGGACAAACCGGTGTCTCTTCTCTCAAGCCAGGCCCACTTCCATCAAACCTGGATGATCTGAAGGTATAGGATTGGGCATGATTTTCTTTTCTTTTTGCAAACAAATACATCAGTACATTTAAAATAACATTTTCACCAACTGATTTCTTGTATAGAACATGATGAAGAAGAGTAGGAGAGAGACTCAGTAGGTGACAGAGTATTAACTGCTATGGTTAAATACCCAACCTTGACTGGCTATGCAACCTTGGGTTAGTTTCTTAATTTTTAGCACCTCAGATTCCTCATTTGCATAAATGGCTTATCATGAAAATCCAATGGAATCGTTTATACATGACAGAACATAGCACAAAGAATAGCTATGGGATTGATATGAGCTCTGAGCCAGTGGTCAATCCCATGGTGATCTCTTACCAATCTCTGGTAAAATGAGGAAAATAAAAACCATATAAAGGGCTTTTCATAAATCTAAGTATGTTCAGCAGATCTGACTAATATTTATTCAAAGTACTTATTTTCTCCAGATGTTTTGAATGCTGAAAGATACTTTCCAGTAGGAAATGATGGTAGTAGATGAAAGCTGAGTGTTTCTGAGAAAGTTTTGTTTCTTTTTATTAAAAGAAATATCTATATATATAAAAGCCTAAGTGACTGAATGACCAGTTGACCGGTCGCTATGACATGCACTGACCACCAGGGGACAGATGCTCAATGCACAGGATCGGGGCTCCCTCCTGTCTGCATCTGGCTTGCAGGGATCAGGCCTGCGGGGATCAGGCTGAAACTGGATTGCGAGAGGGTGCAGGCCACGCCAAGGGACCCTAGAAGCGAGAGGGCTTCTAGTTATTAAATAAGGATACTAATCCTTATTTAACAAGATAAACTGTTGGTAACTCTATGTCTTTTATATAATTTAAAGCAATGTACTAGTCAATGAAATCCAGTCAGAGACCTTCTGAAATGTAGCAGCCACTTGCGACATGGTATTATGTGCTAGCAGTTTACTCTGGTCACTGACCACAGACCCTCAGTCACGGAGATGCCCCTGAGCTTTGAGCTGAGCCTGGTGTGGTTCGGAGGAACCCTCAGCACGGCGCATGCATTCACCCGGATTCACACAGAACTGAAAAGGGTGAGCGCGGTGCCTTGCTGCTCTACTAGCACACCTGCTGTCCGCAGCGCCTCCTCACTCTCAGTGATGGCACCTCTTTACCCACAAAGGGTCTTACTTAGCATGGTTCCCAAAAGACTAAATTCATAAAAGTCCCCTAGTCTTCACTGGGCCGGTGCCACAGCCCTGTCTCAGTCCTCATTGCCACCCTCATTCCCATGTTCAGTACTTGGTCATTATCTTCTTTGAGGGGAGGTAGGATTGGGGTTATTTCCAATTAAAGGAAACTCCATGGCTGCTGAGTGCCCACACCAGTAAATAATGTGTATCTTGGGTCCTAATATCAAAGGCTTCTCTATTCCTCCCGCTTGGAATACAAGTGCTCAGGTTTGGACTTGGCATCCATAAACCTAGATGCCAAGCGCATGACAATGCTCTCCAGAGCCATAGGGTACGCACCTTCCACTCCCCAGATCATAAACCTATCGAGGCCAAAGCAGGCTTCCTCACCTGGGAAACATTACACCGTGAAATAAGCCAGATACAGAGACAAATATTGTATGAGTCCACGTATATGAGGTACCTCGCGTAGTCAACTTCATAGAGACAGCAAGTAGATGCGGGTTACTGGGGGCTGGAGCAGGTGAGAATGGGGAGTTAGTGTTTCACCGGGACAGAGGTTCAGTTGGAGATCCCGGAAAGGTTCTGAGAGGATCCTGCTGATATTTGCCCAACATTGTCGATGCACTGGTGCCACTGAGAAGTGATTGAATGGTGAGTTTTATGTTACATGTCTTCTATCACAATAACAAAGATTCCTTTTGAAAGGAGTCTCGCACTGGATGGGAGCCTGGTCAGGTAGGACTAGAGATGCCTGGGCCAGAGAAAGATGGTCCATACATGACGTGCCAGCCCTCGGGGGCCCCAAGCTCTGTTCTCGGGGTCACCGGCTGGTCACAGTCCCAGTAATTAGCACAGGCATTAGGAGATGATGGCGATGACAGTGGCGACTAGCATTTTTTAATATAAGCTGTCAGTCAGCCATGCTAAGTAGATTTGCTTTAAATTTTACCCCACAACAGACATTTTAAATGGGAATGTAAAAATCAAAATCTTGAAGAGATTAAATAATGGATGACAAAACTGGGATCTGAACTTAAGTGACTGATTTCAAAGGCTTTGCCACTTCAGATGAGAATGGAAAGAAAGGAAGGGACAGACTGAAGACTGGACTTGACCATGGGGTGTGGGAGAGAGGAGAGAAAGAAAGCTTAACTGGGTGAATGGGAGAGTTTGCACAGGTGGCAAACGGGGAAGGTAGTTTGGGGAGCTGATATGAGGGGACACGGGCAAGTTTATTCAGTCTGGGAAAGCTGAGTCTCCGGTACCGGCAGTTTCTGTTAGGAATATACCAAGTTGTTTGGGTTCAGCTGTGTTGTAGGGCACAGGGACAGAAATTTGGGGATTGTTTTCATAGTGGGGAGGGTTGAAACTAGAAGAGTGGATGAGATAGAAGGAGAGCAAAATGGAAAGAGTGGCGAGGAGAATGGAACAGGGAGAAAGGAAGCAGAGAAGAGGAATAAGGGAAGCAAATGATGTAATCACACTTTGGGAAAGGAAGAAATAAGAGGAATTAATGAAGGTGACCCTCCAAAAAAGTAATCAGAACCTGGCCAGTGTAGCTCAGTTGGCTGAGTGTCGTCCTGTGCACCAACAGGTTGCTGGTTTGATTCCCGGTCAGGGCACTTACCTAGGTTGCAGGTTTGATGCCCAGTCGGGGGCATATTGGAGGCAACCAATTGATGTTTCTCTCTCACATAGATGGATGTTTCTCTCTCTCTCCCTTCCTCTCTCTCTAAAGTCAATAAAAAAACATAAAAACTCTAAAACCAATACAAACATTTTTTTAAAAAAAATAACCAGAAAGGTAAGGCAATGAGGTGATATTTTCCATAAATGCTGATGTTTTGCTACATAGAAATTAAGGGGGAAAGTACAGAGAATAGAGTTTAGTTTCTCATTAAAAACTTACAAGCGGTAATATCACAGGCCATTTTTTGTGTTTGTTTTGTATCCAGTTTCTAACAAACTAGTGGGAGAGAGAGAATAAGAATGTGAAGATGAATGGGAAATTTAAAAACTGGGGCAATATTTAATAGAGACTAAGAAATAATGGTTCATACTTTTTAGATGTGATAATGGTATTGTATCTGTGTGTTTTTTTAAAGTACTTATCTTTAAGAGATAGATACCAAATTCTTACAGATTAAATTATATGATTTCCTGCAACATAATTCAAAAACATAGGGGAAGAAGTGGTTTGGGTATAAATGAAACAAGATTGGGCATGAGTTGATAATTATTGAAAGTGGTTGATGGTTATATGGGGTTCATTATACTTTTCTATTACTTTCATGTATGTTTGAAATTTTCCATAATAAATGGTTTACATTATCAATGATTGAAACACCAATCAATGCAGAAAGGAGGTGTATACAAAACTTTGTTCCAAGCAAGCCCACACAGCATAATATTCTGAAATGTAAGGTAAACTGAACTCACCCAGCATCCAGTTCACTTTAGAATATGAGCTACATTATTTGATAATGTACTTTAAGTTATTCAGTGTCAGAACAGATTCCAAAAATAAATGCAGAACTCATTAATTGTAAGTAATTCAAAATTAAAACAATGAGTTGGCACTTTGCACTTTTTCCAACCAGCAAATCTAAAAGAAAATAATAAAAGCAATGCTAGCAAGCACGGGGGGCGCAGAGAAGGGAGGGGGAGCATATGTATTGCTTGGAGCAGTGTAAATTGTCTTAATCCTTTTAAAATACCTTTTAGCTGAGTGTAAAATAATATTATTCACTAGTGAAATACATTTGTGTTTAGAGAAGTAAAGAGTATTTTAAAAGGCAGTTGACTCACATAACAGATTCTATTTCCTTCTAGTCTTGAAATGCATATGGACATATTTTGCTTTAAAATAACTATGTGAGCATAAATTTCTGACATGCATTTTTGTTTCACATATGAACATTTTTATAACTCTTAATAGTCAAAAATCCTTTAATTTTTAATAGCAGTATATTATTTCACCACCTAGTTAACATTTCTCTGTTAAACATTTAACTTGCTTCCAAATGTTTACTGTTAAAAATATAACTTGTACATACACTTATTTATCTAAATATCTCCCCAGGCTAAATACATAGGAATGGAATTTCTGAACCAAAATATATTACCATTTTTAGAAGTTCTTGCTACATATTGCCCACTTTCTGTCCTGAACAACTGTGCCTCGCTGGTCCCAGAAGCAGTGTTAGCACTTCTCAGACATGGGTGTGCACACGAGTCACAGGGGCTCTGGGTAAAATGCAGCTTTCGATTCAGTAGGTCTGGGAGGGGCCTGAGATTTTGAATTTCTAACATGTTCCCCAATGCTGCAAGTGCTGTTGGTCCACGGACCACACTCAGAATAGCCGAATATCTATAATAATAAAAGTGTATTATGCTAATTAGACTGAACAGCCAAACAACCTTCCAGACGTCCTTCTAGACATCCTTCCGGACGACCTTCCCGATGAAGCTGCGGCATTGGGGGCCAAGGCAGAGTGGTTAGGGGCAATCAGGCAGCCAGGCAGAGTGGTTAGGGGCAATCAGGCAGAGTGGTTAGGGGCCATCAGGCAGGCAGGTGAGTGGTTAGGGGAGATCAAGTAGGCAGGCAGGCAAGCGGTTAGGAGCCAGCGGTCCTGGATTGCGAGAGGGATGTCTGAGAGGTCCTGGATTGGGAGAGAGTGCAGGCTGGGTCGAGGGACCCCCCCTTCCCATGCGCAAATTCCGTGCACCAGGTCTCTATTCTATAATAATAAAAACATAATATGCTAATTAGACTGGACAGCCAAACGACCTTCTGGACGTAACTCCAGACATCCTCACGAACAAATCCACAGTGGTGGGGACCGAGGCAGAGGCAGTTAGGGACAATCAGGCAGGCAGGCAGAATGGTTAGGGGTGATCAGGAAGGCAGGCAGGTGAGTGGTTAGGGTTGATCAGGCAGGCAGGCGAGCAGTTAGGAGCGATCAGGTAGGCAGCGAGTGGTTAGGGGCAATCAGGCAGGCAGATGAGTGGTTATAGGCGATGAGGCAGGCAGGCAGAGTGGTTAGGGGTGATCAGGCAGGCAGACAGGTGAGTGGTTAGGAGCCAGTGGTCCTGGATTGTGAAAGGGTGCAGGCCAGGCTAAGGGCCCCCCACCCCCCGCTCCCATGCACGTGCACCGGGCATCTAGTTAAGTATAAAATAGCTTAAAAACAAAATAAACAAACACAAACCAAAAAACATTTTTAGCCTTGGGCAGTGTGGCTCAGTCGGTTGGAGCATCATCCCATACACCAAAAGGTGGTGGGTTCGATTCCTGGTCAGGGCACACACCCAAGTTGTGGGTTCAATCTCTAGTCAAGAGGCAACCTATTGATTGCCTCTCATATCAATGTCTCTCTCTCACCAATTTAAAAATTTTATTCATTTATTTTTGCTGCTATTTAAGTAACACAAAGTGCTATTGCAAATTTCTTTGTCAATTAGATGAATACAAAAATATGTATATTTTGTTTGCAAATCTTGGACTACTAATGATGGTACACATACATTATCGGCCATTTAAAAATGTTCTCTTTTGTGAAGAGTTGGATGATGTCCATTGCCCATTTGTATGTTGTGTGTCCATCTTTCTCTTCGGGTTGTTAAACACACTTGGCACATCGAGCATACTAATGCTTTATTATTTTTCCTGCAACTATTTTTTCTTAAAATTCTATTTGTATTTGCATCTTCATTTCATGACTGATAGGAGTTTTCAAATTTTTTTGGTCAACTTTTTATGATTAGCTTCTTTGGTTTTATGCTCAAAAGGTCTTCCCCTAAAGAATATCAGAAGGATATTTTCGTACATATTCTTCTAGCTGTTTATGGAATTATTGACATTTAGGTATTTAATATGGTTCCTGTTTTAATTATAAAAGTAATATGCTTATGGGAACTACTTAGGAAATACAGATAAAGAGAACCATCGTTAACATTTTAGCACATCTTTATCCAGATATTATAATCTGCAAGCACAGGCTTAAATATATATTCATATACGTTATATATGTGTGTGTGTGTGTATATATATATATATACAGTATATGTGTATATACTGTATATATATGTAATTCTTAGAAAATAGAATGAAGTAATTGAAACCTTTTAAATGTAATACTATACCATAAATAATTATTTTTATATCAACAAATATTTATAGCATCAGTTTTAATAGATCTAAAGTATTCCATCATTTGCATTCATTATTATTTATTTAGTTTCTATTTTTTTAGATATCTGATGGTTAAAATTCATGAACATGGAAAAGTGCAGGGATGAAATAATTATATGTGCATCAACATAACAATAACAGCCCCTACATGCCTGACCATGTGCAAAGTACTCTTCCCAGTGCTTTCCACTGTTTAAGCTACCTCAGTCCTCACGAGAGACTATAAGTGGTAGGATTGTCTGTTGTGCAGGAGCGGAGCTGGGGCACAGGGTGACCACTGAACTGGGAAGAGCAGGGCCAGCATTTGAATTGGGGGTCTTATTGCCACACCTCTCTCGCTCAGTAGAGCACTGCTATCCGCCAGCTGTTAAACTCAGGACAGGGTGTAGTGTACAGCCGCGGTTCTCCAGCACTGGGCCGGGACCAGCGGCATCAGCGCCCCGGGAACTTGGCAGAAAGGCTCCTCTCAGCCCCAACCCCTGACCCACTGAACCAGAAACTGGTGTAGGGGCCCAGCTACCTGTGTAAGAACCCCCAGGGTCCCGCTACCTGTGTAAGAACCCCCAGGGGCCCAGTTACCTGTGTAAGAACCCCCAGGGGCCCAGTTACCTGTGTAAGAACCCCCAGGGGCCCAGTTACCTGTGTAAGAACCCCAGGGGCCCAGTTACCTGTGTAAGAACCCCCAGGGGCCCAGTTACCTGTGTAAGAACCCCCAGGGGCCCAGTTACCTGTGTAAGAACCCCCAGGGGCCCAGTTACCTGTGTAAGAACCCCCAGGGGCCCAGTTACCTGTGTAAGAACCCCCAGGGGCCCAGTTACCTGTGTAAGAACCCCCAGGGGCCCCGCTACCTGTGTGAGAACCCCCAGGGGCCCAGTTACCTGTGTAAGAACCCCCAGGGGCCCAGTTACCTGTGTAAGAACCTCTAGGGGCCCAACTACCTGTGTAAGAACCCACAGACCTGGGTTCTAGCACCTGCTCTGGTTTGAGAATCGCCCACAAGGACGGGTGGGAGGTAGGAGGCAGCACACTGGAGTGTGAGCATGCTGCAGGATGACTGGTTGCCAGAACTTGGGCAGGTTTCAGTCTTCTCATCTGTAAAATGGGGACAGGACCAGGATGGGATTGGCGAGCAGCACAGAGGTGCCTCTGTGGCTCATGTGGGCTCTACATTTCTAGGACAGGTCTATGATTCAGGAGCCATGAAAACATGGGATAGGACACATTGTAAGAGCATTAATAAAATTGTTCAAAACTGATGTGTATGGGGTGCAGGGGAGGAAGTGAGACGGAAATAATAAAAAGAGAAGTGGACACTGTGAGACTGCATTTGTGATCGTTTGAAGTTAATGTAATAATAATACACGTTTAAAACCCTGTCATGAACAGCACAGTAACGTGCCCCGCTCTCTTCAGGTGTCCGAGTTAAGACAGCAGCTTCGGCTCCGAGGCCTGCCCGTGTCAGGCACCAAGACGGCGCTCATGGACCGGCTGCGGCCCTTCCAGGACTGCGCGGGGAGCCCCGTGCCCAGCTTCGGGGACATCACCACCGTCACCTTTCCCGTCACGCCCACGGGCGCCCTGCCCCATTACCAGTCCTCCCC